ACACCCCTGACTGTAGAGGAGGTGCCCACGGCTTGTCCAGAGACCTGGACAAAACCCCAAGTGTCCTGACTCAACAGCCCTTACTATTCACCTGTTAGTGGCCCCAGGCTAGCCCACCAGCCCCAAAACCCGGTGCCACCCTAACTGCCCGCTGGATGAGCCTTCATATTACTCATCCTTCTTTAAGGATGAGCCCTGGATTCTGAAGAGGTGATCTGAATACCTTCTTCTGGGACTTATTACATCTGAGTCCAGGGTGGAGGCACCTGGACCAGGCATCTTGACCTCACTCCTCAGGGCCTATACCCCTCCTCAGACTTGCCAGAGGAACCAGACCACCTCATATCCACAAACATCTTAACACCCAGCTTAACAACCTGTCTCCTTTCCACCTCTCTTAAGTAGCTCTCTTAGATAACAATAGACATCTTCTGTGTAGCTACAATAGGAGGATGTTTCTGGAAGACTGATAATCATGCCATAAGGAACAATGTTCCAGGATGCTCAAGTTATCTGATCAGAGAATAGACAATCTTGTAAGGTAGGTGGCACCGAAGGACATGAACCTTGGTGGATTTGCTGGAGAAAGCGTGTAGTGTGAGCTTTGGAAATACTCCTGGTCAGGAAGGATGCATGCCTGTTATCAGTACCCTGGCCTGAATACATGTCTTCTCTCAAGTGTGTACAGATTCCCCACCCTCTTAAGGTTAGAGTGGGGGGGGGGAAATACGTGTACTCTCAAATGTTATTGTTGTTAGTGTTCTGAACCATTGTGTTAAGAAAGACTCTGTGGAGATTTTGAAACTTATTAGAAAAGAATACATTGATCAATTAGCTATGTTTGCCATAGATGATGGGGTGGAGAGGTGGCAGGGAAAAGGATGTAGAGAAAAGGAGTATGGAGATTTTGCCATTAGAGAATTAACAAGTGCACAGTGTTCCAGAATTTTCTTTGGTCTTTCAGTAGGTGTCACAAACGTAATAATACACAGGTCAGGTGGGGAGGATGGGGGGGGAGAGTTGGTGAATTTTGTTTGGGATGTAGAATGATTTATAATTTTTTTAAAAGATTTATTTATTTGTGCATACAGAACTGGGATACAGGCCAGAGGCTCAAGGGCGGCGAGAGGCTTCACCAGAGACAGAGTGGGGAGCAGAACAGGCAGACCGATGAAGTACACTGCTGAGGGGAGCAGCGGGCGGGCCAGGAGAGGTCTGCCACGCCATGTGGTCACCTCCAGGGCAGGTGGGAATCGAACTTCATGCGGAAGTGGCTTTAGCTTCTTAGTGCAGTGCTTTAACCTGCTGCGCCACCAGGGAGGACCTGATTTATAATTTTTAAGAATATGAAAGTCACAAATCCATTGGTATTCTTTGGAAATCTCCCACCGTGGCACCTACCCTGCAGGAGTAAAGAAGCGAAGCCTGGCTCAGTAAGTGCTGTGTGACCTCTCTGGACCTTAATTTCCTTCAGCCAGTGCCTAGAGTCAGAGGTCACTTGGTTATCAAGGATTTGGAATTCTCAGTGGTTTCACTGGATTGGAAAGCACATACTGCATATTTTTCATATACATTGTAACTGTCAATATAAAAACGCACTGTGGCCCCTCCTTCAAAAGATGCAGGCAGGTTACCTTCTGCAAATGCAAAGGGAACTCAAAGTGGAGTGAGCCATGTGGCCAAATAAACCAAAGAGGGCTTCACGGAGGGGTAGACATAAACCAGGCCTTGAGTGGTGGGTGGAAATTAGTCAAAAAAGAGGAAGCACAGATGGCCAGTGATTAGGCCAAGGAGCCAAAGCAGGGTGTGTGTTGGGAAGAGGGGGCGAAACGAGCCACATTATAGAACATCTGCAAAGCCTGGGGGAGGGGTTTACACCCTTGGCAACCGGCAGCCTTGTGAAGCAAGTGAGTGGCCAGTAGTCCATCAGTTGAAACCCAGAATGGATTGAAAGGGGAAAGATCAAAATCAGATGATAAAATCGACATGCAACTATGAGGCAGTGGGCTGGAGTGAGAACAGGGGGAGAAGATGAGCAAAGTCATTGAAGTGGGATTGGCTGAGGGGTGACCCCCGCTGCAGTGGGCTGCTCTGACTCTCGCAGTCTCTCGAACCTGGCCTGTGAGTTACCATGAGACCTCCTGATGATAATCGAAGTGCCAGTTCATTTAATATCTTTTCCATGCAGCAAGCCAAAGACAAAAACAAAGCAAAACAAACAAAATCCAGGTGAGTTCATTGGCCAGCAAGTGAGTTGTCGGGGAGGGGCAAGTTTAAAGCATTTACTATGAGGATTTATCTCAGATGATAGTGACACACACCTCAGTATTTTAAAAGATTGATTTAATTAAAAAGTGGGGATGTCCAACTACTGACCCCCAAGTTCCCATGGACCCAGCCTCTACCTTCACACCATCCAGCTCTCACACAGCCTGCCCCCATCGAGATACATTGGGAACCTCAGAACGACTTCTGGGTTTTTCTTAAGTCCCCGAAGAAAAAGGAGCCAAAGTGTAAGGAGAAATGGATTCTAGAACACCTCACGAAGCCATTATAACCAAAAGCAGTGCTGAATTGACAGACCAAAAATTAATCCCCAGTGGGAAATACGGTTTAAGGAAATGAATCTTAGACTTAGGCAAGAAACAGAATGGACCTACCTGATGTTTACTCCTGCTTCGCCAATAGCTGTGTGGCCTCCAGGCGATGACTCCATTTCTCTACACCTAGTTTCCCCAGCTGTAAAATGAGAAAGCTCAAAACCCTTTTGAATTCTAACAGCCATGCTTTTGGTCATCTGTAGAATGATGTTTGAAAAGACTGGCTAAACAGAATGTCCCAGAAAAAAGATGCAAATGTCTCTCTCTCTCTGTCTCTGTGTCTCTCTCTCTCTCTCTCTCTCTCTCTCTCTCTCTCACACACACACACACACACACACACACACACTCTCTCAGACTAGTCCTAAAAATTACAACCCATAGTGCAAGCTCAGCTTCCTCATAAGGAAACACGTGCCCAAATGGGGCCAGAGTCATGCAGAACAGGATGTAGGAAAAATTCAGGTCACATAAATGATGTGTCAACTTTTAAAAAAAAGTTACTCGAACATAGTAGCTAGCAAATTGCCTTGCCATGTGTCCTCGAACACCTGGGGGAGCAAGAGACGCAGGGGGCAGGGAGGGGTGACGACGGGCCTCGGTGGTGGGGCCCAGATGCTGCCTGGTGGCTGTTGCTGGGGGTGTGTGGCAGCAACTCCGCCTGCCGGAGCCAGCAAAGCTGCTCAACACTTGGGAGTGACAAGTAGTGAGAAGCGCGTGGGAGTGGGCCTGCTTGGGTAAGGGCTGGTTTTCTTCTCTCTTCTGAGCGATGTCAGAATTGGTTTGGATTTGTTTTATTTCCCTTAAAGACAGTGAGAGTCAATACTGGGTCTGACAGGTGGCCTCTCCTACAAATTCTTTTCACACCTGATGGGTGAATGGTTGGCAGGTTCTGTCTGGTAGATTCAGTAGCGGCCTCAGTAGTTTGTTCAGAAACTCCATAAAGCGTTTCTGAACAAATCGCCATGGCCCACAGCTGTTCCTTCTCTGAGTCAAGGTGGGGAGACATCGCTGGGGCTGCTGGCCTGTGAAAATATTAAAACACGGATGGTGCAATCCTCCAAGGCAGCGGCTATGCCCCTGAAATGGTCCTGGAGCCAGCCCTGCCCCCAGCTCTGTGCCTCAGGGCATCTACTAAGGATTCTTAGAGAAGGGGGGGGGGGGAGAGGGGCTGTGCTCCTTCACCAACCAGGGATGCTGAGGAGCTTCCCCCACAGGCTGCGGGACAGCTGCCCAACCCCCCCCCACACACACACACACCCCTCCGTCCCCCCCACAGCCCAGTTAACAACCCTCTAAGCAGCCAGGTGGGGCGCTCACTGCACCAGGCCACACAGTAGTATGTTGAGGGGGCAAGTGAGTCAGAAAGAACCAAGAAAAGTAAGTTATTGTGCACAACATTGGTCTTAGGATTCAGAAAACC